TGTGTTTGTGTGTGTTTTCTCAGCTGTAAAGAAAATAGGGAGAAATTCCATTCTGTCTGGTTTCCAAGTGTCTCCAGAACTCACTGAGCCTTTTATGCAAGAAGACTGACTTTGGCAGCCCCGAGTCCCAGCACGGCCCTGTCAACAGGGAGACCTTTCTCCATGGGAAGCTGAATTAGGTGCTGACGGGGCGACTGCATAGGTGAGGCAGAGGAAGGGGACAGGGAGCCTGAAGTGGAGAGGGGAGCTTGGGGAGCAGGAAGGGGATGCTAGGTGAAGGTCAGGTGAGAGCCATGTGGTTTGGGTCCATCATCAAGGAACTGACTTTCTCAGAGAGAATTATGTGGAGATTTGGTAGGGGAAAGTGAGGTGCTTTTAGCTTGAGCTGAGGCTGTGTGAGGATGCCTGCATGTGTCCCGGCTGGAGACAAGGAAACCTTCATCTCCTCATCAGCCAGACTCTACCCCATGGTTGTCTACCTGGCCAAGGTCTTGGCCTGGATTCCATCAAATTATGGGATTGAACAGGCAGCTCACCCACTCTCCCTGAATGCCTCTTCCAGCAACATGTGCAGTGGAGATCCCTCCTCGACCTGCGTGGACCCCTACTGCTTAATAATCCAGGACCTGCCCCATGGCTGTTTCAAAGACTGAGTGAGATAATGTGACAGCCATCATCCCTCTTCAAGGCTGGACACTGTTTCTTTGGCTCTGCACCCAGCACAGGCTCTGGCACTCAGCAAGCATCCATCAATGCAACTTTCCTCCCACCTCCCTGGTTGTCAGGCCTGAGTGAGCCTCTCAGAACTGGGGGATTGGAAGAGAGTTTAGTGGTTGTAGAGAGGCTTCCTGTCCCAGGATGAGGGTTGGACTAGATGACTTTCCATAAATAATAAAACAGCGTTCATTTCAAAAACAACATTACCATACTACCAAACATTTGGAAAACAGGACAATGGGAAAAAAATGACCATCATCTACAATCCAAATCCTCATTATTAGTGTTTTGATAGTTTGCCTTCTAGTCACCCAGGCTGGAGTACAGTGGCATGATCTTGGCTCACTGCAACCTCTGCCTCCCAGGTTCAAGCAATTGTCCTGCCTCAGCCATCGAGTAGCTGGGACTACAGGTATGTGCCACCATGCCTGGCTAATTTTTGTATTTTTTGGTAGAGACAGGGTTTCACCATGTTGGGCAGGCTGGTCTCAAACTCCTGTCCTCAAGTGATCCACCCACTTTGGCCTCCCAAAGTGCTGGGATTATAGGTGTGAGCCACCTTACCTGGTCATTCAAGTCTTTTTTTTTTTTTCAGGTATCTACTTGTGTTTTTTTGTAATTGTAATCTTTTTGCATGCTAGTTGCCTTTTCCACATAACACAATGGACCACACAACTTCTTTTCTTTCATTCCTTCACTACTGATGATCATGATGCTTTACAATTATGACCTCCCTGTCATGAATCCTGTATATGCAGCTTTAGCCTCTGATTGCATGGTAGGTGCTCATTCCTTCACAAGGTGGCCCATTCCATGGCGGAGTAGCTCCAATTGTGCTCAAGAACTTTCAAGATTGAGTCAAAATGGCTCACCCACATTATAATTTCCACCCAAGAGTTCCACCATCAGAAGCCCCACAAAACACATCCCCTCCTCTTTCACAGGACTCATGGTAAATCTTCAGAGGTCCAATCTGCTTCCTGTCTGCTGTTCTTCCATGGAGACATTCCTGGTCCCTCCAACCAACCCTTCCTCCTGTGGTGGCCTTCTGGACCTCTCTTTACCCCCTGGAGCCACAGAAGGTCTAAGCTGTGATGGACCTTAGTGAACATCAAGCTTAACTTCCTCATTTTACAGGTGAAGAAACTGAGGCACAAGGAGGAGACTGAGTTGCTCAAGGCCATATGGTAGGTTGGAAGTGGAGCCAAAACGAGAACCCAGCGCCAGGGGACCTGGCCCTCACAATTCCCAGCATTAACGAACTTCATAAGGTAGCTGCTGTGTCTGTCTTGTTCTCCATTGTCTCCCTGGCACCCAATGTAGTGGGTGGCACAGAGAGATGAAATGTTTGTTGAATGAATGAATGAATGAATGAATGAATGAACAAATGGTGGCCCGTACATCCTTAGAAGTAATCTCCTCCAACAAGGCCTTGGGGGGAGGAGGGCTGAGGATGGAACTAGAGGCTCATATGTGATGAGCACCCAGGTGGTGCCCGGCTGAATGAGGTAGACCACTACCACTTCACATTCAGTAAGTCTCAGCTAGAGACACACTGCTTGCTTGTGATGTGCATGGCTGTATTGATTAATGATAACGCTTCAGTGCAGCATGTGACTTTGGGAAGGTCATAGGCCTTTTGCGGCCCAGAGGAGGAACAATCCGGGTCACCCCT